CCAGACTTTTCTTCACGTCCGAAAACTTTATAAGATCTATCATAATAAGAAAATTTTCTACATAAGAATTCTAATTTTGGAAAATGCCAGTTTTACATTTCATTTATTAGTTTCGTACTTCGTCGGTTCACTAACTTTTATCAAACTAAAACTGTATTATCTATTAATGCATCTTTTATTTTGATTTAATTTTCTTCTAATTTATTTCATTAAGGTAAACGTCTATTATTTGGTAATTAATATTATTGATACTACTAATCAAAATAATTTAATATGATTAATACATTAATAATATTAATAATGATAATACCGAGTTGATCATATAAATCATAACGTTAATAACTTTAGTCGGTATTAATTCACCTGAACGGTATATAAAGATTCGTTCCCTTGTTCATTTATCCCTCTTCAAATTCTTATTCCTATATTTTTAATTTTTTATGGAATAATTTAATCGCTATAAGTAATTTTAGTTTCGGAAAAATACAATTTATTTTCTACCGACTTTTCGACAGCATCTCCTCTAAAATTGGATACTCCACCTGTTAAATAATCAACAGTTTATCTAATAATTTTCAAACCACACAGCCCATCCATCGGCCCATCCATCGGGCAATTAATCAAATAACATTTTCCCATCCTCCTTCAATCTCAACATCACCACACAATCCAATTTATACATTACAATAACATTATTTTAAAACTACCTTAATTATATCAACACTAATATTATAAAGCTATTAACTATTCACAATGACCAAATTAAATTAACCAAATTAATTAACTACAAATAAAATTAATTTAATTAACTAATATTACTAACACTAACTTAACTAAACTAATTGACTACAAATAATAAAATTAATTTCATTAACTACTACTACTAAATTAATTAACTACAAATACTAAAATTAATTTAATTAACTAATATTACTAACACTAACTTAACTAAATAAATTAACTACAATTAACTAATTTCATTCACTAAAACTAACTTAACTAAACTTAACTAAACTCATTAATTGCAAATAATAAAATTTTATTTCATTAACTAATATTACTAAATTAATTAACTACAAATAATAAACTTAAGTTAATTAACCTACCCTAGCTAGCCTGCCATCCTAGAAGCTAGCCAGGAGCTTCGCTCTACCCGCCCTCTTAGGATCGCTTTGCCGGGTCGGGATGTCACAGAAGGTGTCGCGATGCTGCTGCTGCTCTGTCTCGCCAAGAACGCAGACGTGGTGAAGAGCAAAGAAGAGGAAAGAAAGAAGAGAAGAGAAAGAAGAAAGAAGAAAGAAGAAGAGAAGGAAGAAAGAAGAAGAGAAGAAGAGGAGGAGGAGATGAGGTCGACGCTGGAGAGGAAAGGAAGAAGAAGAAGAAGAAGAAAAGAAAAGAAATAAAGTATGTCGGTTTCTAGATGATTTCGGTTCGATCTGAACCGGATTGGTCTGATTCAACGACTTGGCTCGATTTTTACTCAGTTTGCAGGTTTTTCACTTGATTTTCAGGTTATTCATCTGGTTTTCGAAAAATCAATTTGATTTTCGGGTCCGGTTCGACTTATTTTGATTATTTAGTTTGGTTTCGCAATATTTTCTCTATTTACTCAATTATAATACAATATTAATAGTAATGATATTTGATTTTAAGACAATTAATTTATATTGCAGTTACATACATATACTTTTTGCAGTTACATACACTATACATACCATTTTGCAATCATAAGACAATTAATTTATATTGCAGTTACATACATATACATACATTTGCAATCAATTAGTAACTAGAGTCCCATTTTATTTCATCGAAACTTTTTAAGTGTTCTCTAATCGAAATTCCCGAATAATTTGTTTTTGGGCTTGGGCCCAACTCAAAATTTTGGGCTCGATTTGAGATTGTGTTACATTTACAGCCCACACGGTCAAAATTTCTTATTTTTGATTTAAATTAAATTTGAAAATTTCGAAAATAAAAATTCGGGGTATTACAGTAATATTTTGAACCATGTACTTACGCAAAATCCAAAAATAAATTGCTTAAAGTTCTCAACTCTATAATCGATATATAAAGTTGTAACAACAATATTGATAATAGAATGTACTTTCTCAAGTTTAAAGGAAATATGAATGAGATTAAATTCAAAAATTACAAAGTCATATATAAAATATTTAAAAAAATTAAAATTTCAAATGTCTAATTATCTTTATATCTATCTAAAAAATATTTTAAAAAATATATCCAATTAAATTATAAAAAAATTAAATAAAATTTCATAAATTTCAAAAATAAAAGAATAAAAATATTGAATGAAAAAGGAGCTCTTGAATTTTCTCTTTATTTCATTTTTAATATAAAAAATTGAAAATAAAAACGATAACAAATTCAAACATTTATAGCCTAGTTTTTCAAAAAAATTTCATTAGACTAAGAAAAAGGAAAAACTCTATTTTATGATATTCATCAAATACTATAATTTCATACTTCCATTGCTTTTGATAAATTTAAAGAATTTTAAAATACAATAATATATAAATGATTCAATAATATATAAATGATTCAAATAAGTGTAAACCATCCTCTCATAAAAAATCAAAGAGAAATAATATATTTCAAAAATTTTTATTTTAAATTTCATTGTAATTAACTAATAGAGTTTAATAATAAAGTGTTTAATCAAATTTTAAAAAATTCAGAATATAATAGATTAAAAGAATTTAAGTTCCATTTTCAATAATTGAATTAAGATTTTCGATTTACTTCCTGAAAAGCAATATAACATGAGAACATATGATTCAGGACATCAAAAACTATTAATTATAAAAATCATCAAAAACTATTAATTATAAAAATCATTGAGCAATAATATTAAAATATCAAATAGAGAATATGTATAAATATATATATTTTCTCAAATTAACGTGCATAAAAAATCAAACTAAAAGGATATTTAAAAGGATAAATTGAATACATTTTCTTCTATTAAAAGACATTAAAAGTACAACTAAAAAGGATATTAAAAATGATAAATAGACTTATTTTCTCCATTTAAAATGCATAAAAAATTAATTAAAATAATATATTAGGAATTTCAAATTAAACTAACACTACTTTAGTAAGTTTCATAATTCCCTCCTCTATTCTCACATTTATGTACATTATAGATTATAGATTATAAATTATAAATTTATTTTATTATCTATTAAATTAAAAAGAGCAAAATAATGTATATAATAAATACAACATAAAATATCGTTAACTAAATTATTAATATTTAACTCTCATATTTTAATCTTAAATTCCTAATTGAGATATAAAATTAAAAATAACCATATAATAAATAAAAAAATTTTAATTCTCCTATCATATAACTATTAAAATAATTAAAAATACACAAATATTATTTATTAATATATATAGTCCATCGTTAATTATCTACTAAACATAATATTTAAAATAAAATTTTTAATTATCATCAATAAGATTATTTTATAACATTTTTTTAAATTTTCATTAAATCATTATTCAGGAATTCCATTTTCCCCTCTTCCTAATTTTATTTATATAGGTATAATATAGATATAAAAATAAAATATATTTATTAATATATATAGTCATCGTTAATTATCTACTAAACATAATATTTAAAATAAAATTTAATTAGTCATCAATAAGATTATTTTAGAACATTTTAAATTTCATTAAATCATTATCAGGAATCCATTATTCCCCTCATTCCTAATTTTATATATAGTATAAATATAGATATAGATAGATATAGAATTCAATTGTTGTAAACATCTTTCAACTACATTTATTTCAATAAAAAGATATTGATCATTTTTAAACTGCCAATCCATTTACCCAAATCACATTCTCTTTTGTCAACCATGACAGGAGTTTTGTCCTCTTGTTTTTTCTCTCTGGTGAACTCGATCAAGGAGAGAGAAAGGAATTTTGTTTCTACTTTAGTCGAGAGAGGAATTTTGCTTCTAGTCTTTTTAATTTAGCTCTCACACTTCTCTCTTACTTTTTAACCTATTTTAATAGAAAAATTCTGAAAAATAGAGAGTGAAACTATATAGTTTGACGAAGACAAACTTCATAGATGATTTAGATATTTGACTTTAATTAATTTTATCAAACTGCAGAGATAAAATAAATTTTCCCTGGGCCCAAGGCATAAGTTCACCCTTTAAAGTACATAAAAAAAACTCGATTATATTTTTAATTTACTTTGATATATTGAACACTTCAATTTATAAATTTGTACTCATTAAATATTTCAATTGCAAAATTATTCTATTAAATACTCAAACTTGTAAAATTATTTTTGATTAAATACTTATTATTTAGTTGAAATTATGAAAATTATTGTTCCAAAAATTATACTAACCACACACTAAGTGAATATTTTATACATAAATACCAAAAGTACAAAAAAATGTTACTCTTGCTATAGAGAGGAATATAACATTACCAAAAATTCATAACTTTAGGGACATATAGGTCCCTCGTAAAGTTTAAGATGCTATAAAATTTTTTTCATAGAGTACAAGGTGAATTTATGTACTGTGTTATTTTCTTGTATTATAATCTGTATGATGGGTGTGAAACTAATTCGTTTTAATTAAGAGCATTTAGTTCAATTAATTTATGCAGTTCATAACTGATTTATACACAATAGTTAACTTGTAGGTGTTTGGTAAATTTACCGCTGATTTCATTGACAATGTTTTGGAGTTTTTTCATTTCAAGGATTAGTTAATTCAAATATTATTTTATTTGCCTCCATTAACCGCATGAAAATAACTACCTAGTAAAATTTTCAAGTTAATATTTTTTATCATCATTTTATTTATAGTTTTTTAAAATAATATTTGGTATTAAATATTATTTTAAAATTTAATTAATATAGTACATTAAAATAAAAAATGATATATTCATTTTTTTAAAAAAATATATACAATTTACATCATTAATACAAAAATGAAATGTTAAACCAAACTGCCGCAAAGAAATTTGTAATTGTTGTTCGGAGGAAAAAAGAAAACGAACAACCTCAGCTGACCCGTTTGTGAAGTCTCACTTGTCAGTAGTCATTTGAAGCCAAATCTATCTATTATGTTTAAAACACTGAAACAGATTGCTGAAACGGGAAGGAAGATCGAACCGATGAAATTAGCGACGGTATGCGGAGCTTTGATAATATTCTTAATCGTATCATCATCATCTACCAATTGCGAACCCGACGGCAAAGGAGAATGGCAGATCCTCACCAAACAGAACTTCTCTTCTCAGATCAGGCTCCATCCGCACATTCTCCTCTTAGTCTCCGTGCCCTGTAAAATACACAAACTCTTCTCTTTCTCTGTGTTTAGTGAAAACTATTATCCAATTTAAACTAATTTCAAGTTTGGCAAACAGGGTCAGGAGAATCACGATCACTGATGAAGGAAATAAGCCATTTGGTTATCGAAAGGCAAGAGAAGGAATTTGGGTCTCTCAAGTTGATGTATATGCACAGAAACAAAGAGAAAGTGCTAGCGGACGCTATTGGAGCTGCAGAGGGAGTAACGATCTTGTATTATCATCACTCTTTATCTTATAAATATAAAGGCAAATATGTGGCTAGAAATATACTCTCTAGTATTCTTCCTTATATGTCAATGTCGCCTGAAGAAATTCCCCTTAAAGCATTGAATACTCAGGAGGAACTGAATTTGTTCCTTGAATCCACGGACAAGGCTTTGCTTCTCCTTGAATTTTGTGGATGGACGCCTAAATTGCTGGCTAGCAAGAACAGGAACGGAACTGAAACGGGTGGGTTTGTTTTGTTTTTGATTCTTAAAGGCTAGAGGGGCATTGGAATTTCTTATTTAATGTAAAATTGGAATGCAAAAAATAAGTTCTTTTGTCTTTTGACTTGATTTTCAGGGGTTTTTGCTGGAGTTAGCTTCAATGGAGATCCTGATGGAATTCCTGTACCTAGAGGGCAGGAGAACCTGAAGGTGGCTGGTAGTTTCTAACTGCACACTGTTATGATACTGATTTCTTCGGCATATTTTTGACTGTGGAAGTTAAGTGGTTTGTCAAATGTCTTAAATTTTTAGTTCTTTGTAATTCAGTTGCAGGGGATGGAAAGTGAGAACTTAAAATGTGGTATCCAAGATGGGTTTAGTGGAATTCCTTGGATTGTGGAATTGAGCTCAGTAAATAGTAGTTCTCCTCTACCTGACACTCAGGATATAGAGCCTAGTGATGGATTGTCTTCTTGTACCTTTGAAGAGTTTCAGCAATTTGATTCTTTCTTCTCAGGGTTCATTAATGTTGCAAGAGAATTCTTTCTACCTTCTGAAAGGTACAGATTTGGTCTAGTTTCTGAGAGATCATTGCTTTCATCTCTTGGTATTGGAGATTCTGGTTCATGGTCGACAATGCTTTACTTTAATGGATGTCCAAGCTGTTCAAAGATTTTGAAAGAAGGGGATGACCTAAAGGCTGTTCTACTGATGGATGAATCAATAGTTACAGAGGTATCTGGTTGCTTTGCTGCCATTTCTATTCACTCTTGTACATTATTGGTTGGGATAGTCATGTACTCAATATCATCGCCTGATTCCAATTTGCATAAGCAAAATCTAGTGACTAAAATTTTGTCTTTAACCAAATATCTTATGTGTTTTACTAATTATCATAGTCCTATAGCCCATAAGATTACATTAGAAAACTTGACAGGCTTAACATGTAAAGATACAACTGACTTTCTATTGAACCCAAAGTTTAAGTTTGGTGATTTCGCTGATAAATATTGAAGTTTAGTGATGATGCTAAAATCAATAATATGTTTATTGATAATGACTTGTATGCCAATTTTTGCAGTTCTAGGGCTTGATAGGTCCTAGAATATAGACACACACACACTTGTGAAAACTGGTTGCTCCTATTCCTAAGTTGACATTTATATTTCTTTATGCTGAGTTCTGTTTATCAATGCTAAATGTATTGCTTCTTTCACATTTTAATCCTAAAACTTCAGAAATATTAACTTTTTTTTTCTTGATCATTTTGAAAAAATCTAATGGTCTATTAAAATAACATAAAAAGATAAATAAACAAACTACAGTCAAAAGTTTCCCATAAAATTTTGTTTCCTTGAACAAAAATAAAATAATTTTTAACAGTTATTTCAATTATAATCAAATCCCTCATTTATGCATGAAGTGTAAGTTGGGCAACTTCAATTATTTAAGATATCCTGGATGCTAGATTTTGTTTCTGATGCTTGTGATATTTATAATAGTTTTCATGATTGAAGTCCCATTAGTACTAAGGGCTAATTTTTAGCCATGGATTCTCTTGTTTTCTGTTGGTGTACTTGTTTTCCCATTTCCCATTTTTCTTCCATATCTGACTTTGCTGTACCTTTTGTTTTAATATTTTTGTCCACCAATAATCTTCTTTTTTTTCCAATTGATGTATTTTTCTTTCACATCATGCAGCTGGAAGGGAATGGACAAGATCTCACTGTACCTGCACATAAGCCATCAGTGCTTCTTTTTGTCGACAGATTCTCTGACTCCTCAGAAACGAAAAGGAGTAGCAATGAGGCTCTTGGCATATTAAGAAAATTAGCACTGCAATATCAGATTTCAGATCAATCAACTCAAGATAGTGGTGACAAGTCTGAAAGATCTTCTGTCCAAGCTTTTCAAGAATATAGTACATCTGCACACCCTAGGTTAAAGTTATCTCCAATGGCTCAGAAGATTAAATTGAAGGAGAAGATGTCTGTTGTGATAGTAAATGAAGGTAACCATGCCATTTTAGAGAATTTTGCATCAGATTCGCAGGGCAGTTCCTTGCAGGAAGTATTGGCGTACCTTCTTCAGCAAAAGAAGGAAGCAAAATTAAGTTCAGTTGCCAAGGAAGTGGGTTTTCAGCTTTTATCTGAAGATATCGACATTAAACTAACAGATAAGTTACCATCAGAACCACAGATAGAGTCTACAGAAGTTTCAGCTGAACCAATTGAGGAAGGCCTTGACAGAACTATCGTTGATCTGGATGAAGTTTCTGCTTCGAATCAGGACAGAAGTTCACCACCTACTAACATTAAATACTCTTCACAAGATGAACAGAAGAGAACTTTTATTGAAAAAAGTAGACACTTACCATCTGTAAAACCTGACCAAATAGTATCAGATGATGTACAAGCTCTTTCAGGAGTAAATGCAGAAGAGAAGTGTTCTACACAAGTGGACCCTGACCAAATAGTATCAGATGATGCACAAGCTCTTTCAGGAGTAAATGCAGAAGAGAAGTGTTCTACACAAGCTCTTTCAGGAGTAAATGCAGAAGAGAAGTGTTCTACACAAGTGGACCCTGACCAAATAGTATCAGATGATGCACAAGCTCTTTCAGGAGTAAATGCAGAAGAGAAGTGTTCTACACAAGTGGACCCTGACCAAATAGTATCAGATGATGCACAAGCTCTTTCAGGAGTAAATGCAGAAGAGAAGTGTTCTACACAAGTGGACCCTGACCAAATAGTATCAGATGATGCACAAGCTCTTTCAGGAGTAAATGCAGAAGAGAAGTGTTCTACACAAGTGGACCAGTTGGAGGAAGAACAGCTTCACTTTCAAAATTTTAAGGGTTCTTTCTTCTTTTCTGATGGAAACTACAGATTGCTAAAAGCTTTAACTGGTGGAACAAGGATTCCATCCTTGGTAATAATTGATCCCCTTTCCCAGCAGCATTACGTTTTTGCTGAGGAGATGGTTTTCAACTATTCCCCACTGAAAGATTTTCTTTATAGTTTTCTCAAAGGAACTCTTATCCCATACCAACGCTCAGATTCTGAACTTGAAAACCCTAGAGAAGGAAGTCATCCGCCTTTTGTTAATATGGATTTTCATGAGGCAAATTCCATTCCTCAAGTTACATCTCGAAGTTTCTCTGAGCAGTTTCTAGGTTCAAACCAATCGAATGACAATGTGGTCCGTGCTCGGAAAGAGGATGTTCTGGTCCTGTTTAGTAATAGTTGGTGTGGATTTTGCCAGAGAATGGAATTAATTGTTCGTGACGTATATCGGGCCATAAAAGGATACGGCAGTATGTTGAAGACAGGGTCTAGCAATGGGGAAACAGTGGATAGTGGTGGTAAGCCCCATTCTAAATTGTATTTGTTTTATTCTCATGGTTAATAATGCTTTGGACTTCTGAAAAATGCGTCACCTTGGAGAGCTGAAAGTCGCTGGTCGTTTTTTTAATATCTGTTTTAGACTGGTTTAAGAAAGATTTTTACACTTTCCTTTGGACTTATTAAAGGCTATAAGTTTCTATATGAACTTTTAATTTAGCATGGAGATCTTCATGCATCTAAACCCAAATTAGTTGGGAAATATTTTTTTTTTTACCCATATAGTAATTAGGTGTTTATAAGTGTAGAATATTTAAGCTGAATGCAAAGAATAAAGCTATAATATGTTGTATGTAGGTACGCAGCATGCCCCTTGATTAGGAGTAAAAGCAGCAAATTTTGTTTCTCCCTTAGATGTTTGATGTACGAAAATATGAGATTCTATGATAGCTTTTCACTTTTTTTTTTTTTAAAATTACTTTTTAGAGAACTTTTTGTTTATTGAGGAAAGAGGAAATTCCTGAACTTTGGGATTGAAGCAGAGGCAAGTCAATTGGACTGAAGGAAGAAATTTGGACAGAGAGAATAAAGGAGGGTTAACTATATGAATTTTAAAAGGAGGGACAAAGTTCAATGATGTTAAAAAGCTTCAAAGTTTTAATAACCCCTTATATTGCACAGTTTAACCCTCTCGGTATTATTAGGAGGTTGTTGAGTTACCTTCATTAACCTTCAGGGGAGAAGTCAGAGTTTAAATTTAAGGAGCTCAAAGTACTGAGCACAAATGTCAAAGGGGGCAAATGGTTAAAGCTCTATTGAAATGTTCATGGTTTCAATCTCTAAATCTATTGAAACGTGCAACGGATTTAGAATTTGAAACCATCCTTTGTCAAGGCAAATTTTTTTCCCTTTTTTTTTTTTTTTTTCTCTAAAAGAGAAGGGGCAATTGCTTCCTTTTCTACAAAGTGTAGCTTTGCTAGTTTTAGCCTTCCACCATGTATTCAAATAAACTCCCAAATAAAGATAGGAGGTTGATCTCGACCCTTACTTTTTACATTTTATCTTCATCTAACCAGCTTCCATGCAATGTGTCAGTAACTTTTTCTTGTAAACTGATACGAGTTTGACAAGTTGTTATAAATGTGGCAGAGAATATGAAAAGTGGCCTTTTGAAGTTTCCAAAAATCTACTTAATGGATTGCACATTGAATGACTGCAGTCTGATTCTCAAATCAATAAATCAGGTATGCCTCTTACACAATCTGCTTCAATTTTTTTGCTTTAGAAGATTGAAAAACAAAATAAAAAGAGGCATTTTCTAGATCTTCTTACTAGCATAGTATATAGGTGAGTTAATTCAATTATAACTTATATTTTTTTCGCTTTGAAATTGACCTTCATACCGAAATGTACTTACTGAAGTTTACTAGAATTTTCCTGATTATAGACCTTCTTCACGTTACTGAGCATATTTAATTAGTTGCATCGTTTAGTGTGTTTAATTCTTCTAACACATATGTTGAGAAATTTTCATATTTTCATATTGATAGATTTAATGTAATTACTTGTGTAGGTCTTGACATAAACTTCTTCTTTAAAAGATTTTTTTTTGTAATTAATTCTTTCCTTAATTTAGAAATAATTAATGTTTTTGATTACTGTGTCCAAATAAAGCACTTAAGTTCTGCATTTCCTAATTATCTCTTTAGTTCTACGGTTCTTCTAATGTATTAAAGACATTAATATGCATATCACTGTTTTCAAACATTAACGTGATTTTGGTGTCCAGTCTAAGATGACCTTGAGGTTTAAAAATAGATAAGTAAAGTGCCTAGACCTTTGCTGTGCCATGGTAGAATAGATTCAACTTTGACAAAAAAAAAAAAAAAAAAAAAAAAAAAAAAAAAAAAAAAAAAAAAAAAAAAACTTTTGGTGGGGGAAATAAAAAAGAGAGCCACAAAAAAAAAAAAAAAAAAAAAAAAAAAAAAAAAAAAAAAAAAAAAAAAAAAAAAAAGAGATTAGAACATCAATCTAATTCATATTATTTTTTTAAAAACATTAATGAATAAATTAATTGAATGATAAAAAAAAAAAAAAAAAAAAAAAAAAAAAAAAAAAAAAAAAAAAAAAAAAAAAGAGATTAGAACATCATCTAATTCATATATTTTTTAAAACATTAATAATAAATTAATTGATGATATTTAGTAATTATAAATTTTAATATGAAACAAGTATGAAATATAATAATAAAAAACTAAAATCATGAAGCAAAAAAAATAATGGTTGAAAAAACTCATCTTTGTAACTATATTTATCTTTTTCACCAGTAGCATTAATTTTTTATACTAAATTTAATTAAAATAATTATATTTAACTTGCAATAATAACATATTATTTTTGAATGTAATTTGGTCTAGTTATCGTTTATGCAACAATCAAATTTAGTTATGTAATATAATCAAAACTTCACTCGCATAACATATTAGATTAAAAAATAAGTTTAAATTCCTTCATAGTTTCTTTTTTTGAAAGTCAATATTTCTTTGAATAGAAATTTGAAAATTACTTATCTGATATAACATGCAAAAAAGGAAAATAAAAATTTTCAAAAATTCATGTTTCATAATAACATTACTTAATAAGATAAATGGAAAAAAATTACAAGCTTAATTCATCTATCTTAAAATATGAGCCGATGCTATAACAATATAATCAATTGTCATTTTTTTTATACAATAGAAAGAAAAATGGCAAGTGATAGAAAACATTATTATATTTGTAAATTTAATGTGGAAAAAATATTTTCTTCTATTTGATTCATCAATAGGGACAAATATATATACACATACAACATACTATAAACCTATTACGAATCTAACTCGTAATAGAGTTCTATTTACAACTACTCCTTGACACTTCCACTCAAGTTGGAGCATAGATATTAATCATGCCCAACTTGTTACAAAGAAAGTTAACCCGAGGTCCATTTAGAGCTTTTGTAAAGATTTGTCCTAACTGTTCACTTGTTTTAACGTGCCCTGTTGAGATAACACCTTGTTGTATCTTTTCATGAATGAAATGACAATCAATCTCGATATGTTTTGTTGAAATGACAATCAATCTCCGATATGTTTTGTTTCGTTCGATATGTTTTGTTCGTTCATGGAATACTGGATTTGATGCAATGTGAAGAGCAGCTTGATTATCACACCATAACTTTGCAGGCAAGGATGACTTAAAGCCAATTTCCTCTAACAACTGATGAATCCAAATTAACTAACAAGCAGATTGCGCCATAGCTCGATATTCTGATTCAGCACTTGATCGTGAGACTACATTTTGTTTCTTGCTCCTCCATGATATCAGGTTTCCATCTACAAAGACACAATATCCTGAAGTTGATCTTCTATCAACCTTCGAACCTGCCCAATCCGCATCTGAAAAACATTCAATGTTCAAATGCCTACGAAAAACCTTCAATGTCAAATGCCCTATGATTACTGTAAAGTAGGCCAGTCTTGGATACCTTTCAAGTAAGCAACAAAATCTGTCTTAAAGCTTCCAATGGATAACAGTAGGGAGGAAAGACATAAATTGGCTTAAGAGCGCCACAGATAAGCAAATATCTAGATGTATTAAACTGTGAGATAATTGTAATTGCCTCACTAACTCCCTCCTATAATCCCGTCCAGGATCATCAAATAGCTCACCACCAATTGAAAGTTGCAAATTAGGAGTCATTGGAGCGTTGCATAGCTTGGTACCCAACTTTCCAGTTTTCTTCAGTAAGTCAAGGACATACTTCCTTTGAGATAAGAAGATGCCTCTCTTACACCTAGACACCTCAATACCCAAAAAATACTTCAACAATCCAAAGTCTTTTCTTTGGAATTGGGTCTGGAGAAATGACTTGAGTGATGTAATGCCGGTTGAATCACTCCCTGTAATAACAATGTCATCAATATAAACCACAAGTAGAATCAAACCAATCTTAGTACTTCTGAAAAATATAGATGATCAGAAGTACTCTTCTGCATGCCAAATTGATGTACCACATTGCAAAATCTACCAAACCAAGCTTGAGGACTCTGTTTTAGGCCATAAAGAGATTTCTGTTTTAGGCCATAAAGAGATTTCGAAGTTTACAACACTTACCCGACTTCCCTTGAGCAACAAAAGCTTTGGTGTTGCTCCATGTGAACTGTCCTCTGAAGATCCCATGAAGAAAAGGCATTCTTAAACAATCCAAACTGATGTAAAAGGCTTAGTCAAAGTAGCTGCTAAAGAAATAAATAAACGGACAAAAGAACAATTTTGGCAACAGGAGAAAAAGTATCAGAATAATCAAGGCCATAAAATCTGAGAATAGCCCTTTCAACTAATCGAGTGCTGAGACAGAGCAACAGATCCATCAAGATTCACTTTAATGGTGAAACCCACTACAACCAAATAGCTTTTCTTAACTTGCCGGGAGAGGCAACAAGATCCGCCAAGTACCCATTTTGTATCTATAGGCTAGCCATCTCTTTTCATCGCTGCACAAATCAACCAGGATGGGACAGAAGATTGGACAATAGTTTAGGGATAGAGACAGATGTCTAGGTTACAATACAAAACAAACGAGATGAAGAAGAGATGATTGTAACTGACAAAAGAGGAAAAAGGAGTAGGTTACACTTGCGTTAGCCTTTTCGAAGAGAACTTGCGTTTACCTTTTCGAAGAGCAATGGAAGGTCAAGGTCTGACTGGGGAGTGGATGGCACAAGCTCAAGTTGAGTGGAGAGAACCAGATCTTCTGTTGAAGCGGCAGGTGGAGGAAGTGAGTCAAGAGTTCTTAGTCTTCTGGAATAATCCTGTTCAAAACGAGGGCATGCAGATGTTGGTGCATGAGCGGGAATAGGAGCAGCAGACGCTGAAGCAGGAGCAGATGCAAGTTCAGGAATAGGAGCAGGAGCAGGAGAGTTGTGAAATTGCTGGATAACATAGACTAAAAGCTCATCATCCTCCCCCTCACACTCTTATATATAGAAGATAAGAAAAAATGTAGTATTCCCTCAAAAAAATGTGACATATGTGCACGAAATAAGAATAACGGTCAAGAATTGGGAGAGAATAATAACGATATCCTTTTTGATGCCGGAGAATACCCAAGAAAAACAAACAGAAGGGAAACTTTGGAATTCTAATTTGGAAACCTGTGGACGACATCAACGAACAAAACAAGTACAACCAAAAATACAGTTCAATGTGGAATACAGAAGCTTTAGAAGGAAACCAAAGACATTATAAAGGAATTGCAGCGCATTAAAAGCATGAGAAAATAATGGCAATGCGATTAATTAAAAAAACAATGCAGTGTGAGACAGCATCAAGCCCAAAAAAATGTTTAGGGACGCTTCATGATTGGAATAGAAGTGCCCTAGCAACCTCAAAAAGACCTCAAGAAGATGTCGATTTTTCCTTTCTGCAACCCCATTTTGAGAAGGAGTATCAACACAAGATGTTTGATGGAGAATACCATTCTGTGACATATAAGGTTGGAAGGAACTAGATAGGTATTCTTTAGCATTATCGTTGTGCAATATGCGAATAGAGGTATTAGATTGAGTTTTAATTTCAGCACAAAAGGAATAGAAAATAGAGAATATCTCAGAACGAGTTTTCATTAAAAATGACGAAGTAACACGAGAATAATCATCCACAAAAGTTACAAAATACCGAAAGCCAGTTTTAGAAATAATAGGACATGGACCCTAAACATCAGAATGAACTAACTCAAAAGGGCGTCAAAAAGGGGATGAAAGCCCGTTTAATTGACTCGAAAGGAACTGAAAGGTAAACGATAGATGTTGGCAAATTGACAAGAATTCAATTCAAATTGATAAAGATTGAAACTGCATTGGACATAACTTCCCTTTAAAGTAGACAATGAAAAGGATGACCCAAAATGAAAATGAACCTTTAAGAGGAGATAGAGCACCAAACACAAAGCCAGAGATAATGAAACATGTTCATCTAAGAAAGAATAAAGGCCACCAGACTCACGTCCTCTACCAATAATTCCGCTTTGTCCAAAAGAGTCCTGAAACACACAATAATGTAGGGGATAAAAATTTGACACAATAATTCAGCATATGAGTAATTTTTGGCTAGGCAGATAATAGATAAATGAGAAACGAGGCTAAACAAAAAAATAGATAGACAATGGAAAAGGATGGAAATGGGAATTGGGCGGTGGCCAATA